CCCACACTTTGCATAATTACAATAGGACCTCAGAGTTATACTTCATATTTCTAGCTTTAGATACAAGAATGATACATGCATACAAATAGGAGGAATATATTCAGTAGTTTATAACCTTTGTTATGATACCTCACAAGAGACCTTTTGCATAAAGCATATTCCAGTTACGTCATATTCACACTCATAAGCATATTTCCATAAAACATATAGAGTGCAAGGTCACAGTATATTTGACTGATAGCTGTGCTACAATAGTGCTTTGTTGCCCAGTAACTTTTTCTTGTGTTAATACTAAAGGTAGCAAAAGCAAGGTTACAGTTCTGGACTTCAGCTAGGCAGTGACAAGCAGTGTCTGATTAGCACTGCTAATCTGCCAGTTGGAAAGAATCCCAAGATTAGAAATCAGAACTCCTCCAGAAAGCTGGCACTTGTCTGATAATGTCTCTAGCTAAATGTCTTACAAGGCTCACACAATACGAATACAAGGCATTCCTGGAGTTCTCTCAGAACAATTTTATTTCTTTTTTCCTGCTCCGTTGTTGTCCTGCTGATGCTTTTGCTGATTCTTCAACATTTCTGTGCAGACCTCACCTCTAAGAACATGATTAACCTGCTCTGATTGTGACTGCTTATATAACATACTATCTTCTCCCTCTGTGAAATATTTGCAGCATCACTTAAACAGACCTTTTTTCACCTCCAGTATCTTTCATTAGGGGCCCAATTGGGGAGCTGAGTTTTTTTTTTTTAACACAGACTGCTTTTCCTCTTACTGCTAACAGTTGCAAACCTGTCATCTGATGCTTCCAAAGTCCCTTATAAGCATTAACTAGCTTTACGGTGTTCCCTTGATCTAGTTCATTTTATACCCATTTGACAGCTGGGTAAACAGTTGGCACAGAGAGGCTGAGTAATTTGCCCAAGGATGCCTACACCCTCAAGCCAGTGGCAGAGTAGTAATTAGAACAAAGGAGTTGAGACTCTTTGTCCTCTCTTGTTGCTAGTCTGTGGGGTTTTCTGAGGCATCCATTGCTATAATACCTAGGTGCTAGTCCAAACTTGCTCTCAAGAAACGGTTTCTCTGTTGAACAAATGTCTAAAGTTTCTGTAATAATTCTTGGTCTCTTTAAGAACAGTAGGCACTTTACTGAGGCTTTTCATAGGAGATGTATTAATTCTAATTTTCTCCTTTTTAGACAGTTGATAATTCATGTAGATAATAAAAATGAGTGCTGATTAAAGAAGGTCAGCTTTAAGATGTGTTTATACCCTGTGGTTTGACTTTTTCACTAAAATTAACCACTAGATTGAATTTGTCACCATCCAGGGCGCTGATGATTGTCATGGCTAAAGGTAACGAAGATCACGTTGGGCTTTGTCTCTTGCACTTCTGATTTCAGTACTCTACGTTGGGGCCAGATCATGCCATCTCATGGAGGGTTGGGAAATCAGTGGCGTAGGCGTGGGGGAAGAAGGGGCAGAGAAAGGTCTCACTCATGGAGTTCCCCCAAAATTCTTAGGGTGACGGAAGCAGGGTTCACAATGGAAGAAGGCTACCTTGAAATCTCGGATGATCTTGGAGATCTACTGGGGAAGAGGTCCTTTGCCTCCATACTGAATCCAAAGCCCCTCTGTCTTTCTGTGGTAGTACACCTTCTCTACCACCTGTGACAGTGCCCAGGACCCCCAGGCTGTCCTGCAGAATGTCCCAGCCCTTACCCTCCTGTCTCCCTCTCCCCACCATTTCCATGTTCAGATACCTAGACCCCAGTGTCCTCTGCAGGTCTGGGGATCTGCACATGGATAGATGTGTGGTGCTGGGAGGGGCTGGAGGATAAGGTTCCCTAGGGACAGCCAACCCCTAGCTCTCTTCTGCACAGCTGAGAAAAATGCATGTGTGGATGGGTCCCGCTGTCCCTTGATCTGCAGAACATGGTATGGCCCTTAATTCTGTATACATTTTTTTCTAACATTATACACAGTCAGTGAATACCAAAAGTTCACATATAAGTAAATAGAAAAACAATAGTTTAGCATAAGCCACAAGCAATAATGTGTTTATAAATAAGTTTGCGAAGTCAGTAGGAATGAAACTTGCAAAGCATTACTTGAATTTTTATTGATGTTGTAACATGACATGAAAAATCTTTAAAACTGCTTTTGACAAAGAAATATATTGAAATAAAAGTCAGACCTTAATTGTTGTACAAAAGCAATGTAATCATCTGTAATTGAATTGTCAGAAATGCAAATGTTATCTTCTTGACATTTACCATTGCTGTTCTGTCTTTTCTAATTATCTTTATTAAAGGCTGAAATTAACAAAGGAAATGGTTTAAAATTAGGAATGGTTTGTTACATTAGGTGACATTTATTTCTTTGATACCCTTTATCTTTAGTTGGAGCTTGATGTTCAATTATTGTCTCTCTTCTAGGGAATTGCACCAAAATTGAGATTTTCTACCAGCTCCCTTATTACAGAAAGCCTGTTAAGTTCAGGAAGGATTCATGTACAGGTTAGCATAATTTAACTGTTTGTGATTTAATTTCCAGATTGAAATTGACAGCTGCGCTGTCAAATGTTTGCATGTGCTACTCCCTACAAACTTTTTTCATCCTTTTGTTTTGAGTAAAACAGTTGTCAGAGGTGCTTGACAACTTGATTAAATTTTTAATCAAGCATGAGTAAAGAGAAGGCTAGGTGCTTGACAGTAGGTGCTGAGAGTTCCTCCAATACGAAACAATTAACAGCTGCCATATCCTGTGATCAGCTGAGGGGCGAGTCCCTGATGTGTGTGGAGTTGGGAAGTTGTCTTCTCGTCATTATCTAACAGTAGCTGGGTGAACCTGGAGATGACAAATTATTAAAAACAAAACAAACCAATCAATAAAGTATAATTGTAATTATCTTGAGAAATTATTTTTGTAATGGAGATGAAGACTTCATTTTAAAAAACAACAAGGAGTCTGGTGGCACCTTAAAGACTAACAGATTTATTTGGGCATAAGCTTTCGTGGGTAAAAACCTCACTTCTTCAGGCGACCGTCAATTTGTCAATCAAATATCCATCTGAAAATTATGAAACAATGATAAGTAAGGCTTTAGATGCCCTAACTGAACAGACTGGAGGAAACTATTTTTCTGCATTTTGTTTACTTTGTGTGTTTGACAGCATTTTGTGTATAGTCAGTTTCACTGTTTTGAGCCTCCGTTGGGCTTCCTGTCTTATGCACTTATATGATGACATCACTCTTTTCCACGTTGTTCAAAATGGTGTTTATTAGTAATAGCGACAGCAAAACTGAAAATGAACAGGCGGTAGGCAGGCATGTGCACAGAGAGCGAAAGGGGTAGCCTGTGAATTTTTGGGTGGTGGTGATGATGTTGGGTCTATCCTTAAGCAGGGGAGAAAAACAAAACCAAAACCCTTATCAACATTTTTAAAGGAGGATTTTTTTTAAAAAAAGGCACATTCTATTAGAAAACTGAACGCTTCTAAACTGATAAACCTAAAAAAAAAAAATCAAGTTGACATTGTCACTTTAAAGAGATGCTGTCACATTGGTGTTTTTCTGAAATGTTTATAGCATGTACTTGAGATTTTTAATGTACTAAAAGGTACCTGAGATTCTTAACATATATAGTCTTAAACACGTAACCGTGAGTGCAGATGGAAAGGCAAGCAGTAAACATTGAATACAGCCCAGTTACTCTAGTCAATTTCTGTTTCAGTTCTTATGCACCGATGTAGTGCAGTTGCATTGCATATGCAGCAGAATATTGTCTGTAATCTCTTTTTATTTTAAAAGGAAAAGTAATTTCCAAAGGAAAGTCATAAAAATATACAAAATGAAATACCAATAAAATAAGGTATTTGGAGCCAAACTTTACCTGAAATTCCAGTTCATTATACTGTGACATCAAAGCCAAAATGTGCCATTGAGAAAGCGTTCAAAGCATAGCCTTTCTTCCTAGCATGTCTCAAACTATAAAGCTTGTAGAGGCAGCTGAAAGATGACTTTGTGCTGAAATGACAAAAGAGTGATAATGTATTTCAAATTAAACTTCAGTACTGAACGTATTAATCTTGACAGTTGACTTTTAAACTGGTAAGTGAAGAAGTTAATAGTTAGGGCTGGCTCTTTCCTTAACAACTCTTAGTTTGGTATTGCTGGTTAAAAAGAATTGTGGCTTGTTAATATACTATGCATGTCACAATGTGGTATTTTTAAAGTTTGTGTCAACTCTGAGCTAGACCCCTATGCTGGAATTTTAAATGGTCTCCAAACTTTGCCTCCAAAACCTGTATTTGTGGATGCAAAAAATGCCATTTTTACAGGCAAATGTTTTGGTTTTGCATTTGTATTATATTATTCTTTAAGTGAATAATAGTCTTATTATTATATTATATTATATTATATTATATTTTATATTACTATTGAATAGTAGTCTTTAAGGTGCCACCAGACTCCTTGTTGTTTTTGTAGATACAGACTAACACGGCTACCCCCTTATACTTGATATTCTATTATTGGCATAACTGAAGAGGAACACTGGAAAGTGGGTCCTTAAAGTTGTATTATTATAGCTTTTTGCTAATAGCCTTCTCTTTAACAAAATACCCCAGTAAATTCCCCATCTTTCAAGAAAATGCATTTTTCAAAGCAGTTAACTAATTATGAATCTTTGGTCAGCTTCTAAAATGCATATAATTTAACCATAAACAAGAATTCAGTCTGTTGCCATCCACTGTTTTTTAAAAAAATAGGCAGATTTATTTAACCTTACACTCAGAAAGGTAAAAACTTGAAAGTATTTTACAAAAAAAGATGGTAGCAAGTTGAGCAAATATTTTCGAATCTGTAAACTTTTAATCATATATGCTAGGCAGAGTTGTCATTAAATGAACTAAAGTAACATAATTCAACTTAATTTCATATAGTGTCTTTAGCACCAACTGTGTGAGCAAGCTAATTGGATAAATATCAGGCACTTAACCTTAAAGTCTGACATTTAACAATGTGCATTTTATCCTTCTCCTGTTTTTAAGCACATTATTTTAAAAGGACCATCTCTGTTTTTTTCTAAATTGCTGTGTGATTATAGTTTTGTTAGGGTAACTTGAACTGACATATGTCTATTTCTGTCGGAGATGTTGGTTCCCGCTTTGCAGATGTTTGTTTGCTGTATTATCAGCAGCAATCTTTGCTCGGCATGCTGTCAAGCCACATAATTTCTCTTTTCACTTTAGGATAATTTGGATCGGGTGCATCATTCAACACCAAATGGAAGATTACAAACAAGGTCACCAAAGAAAAACACCCCTTCACCTGAGAAAAACAGGCACTGCTTAGCAACAAAGAACTATGAGCAGCCCACAATAGCTTCTAAATCACGATCTCCATCTCCATACACAAAAAGACGAATGTGTGAGCTATCAGAAGAAGCCAGACAACGACTGGCCCATTTAAATCTGGGGCCTTTTGAATTCAGAAGAGAAACCGATAAACCTCCATTTGTAGTTAGACATGTATGTATTCTCTGCAAAGTGTTTCCCATTTAAGCTCAGATCAAACATTATTCTTTTGCTAAATATTACTCCCCAAATCCTAGTTTATATGAAAAATCTTTTTTTCTCCTAAACAGCCTGCTACATAGTGATTTAAATGTAAAATTAACTAGAATAAAAGTCCTTTTGTCATCGTTGGTAACTGACAAGGATCAAACTCTTTCATGAATACCAGGTTTAAATTCTGAGTGCCCATTCTTTTTCTTCTAGCACACTGGACAGCATAATAGGTGCATAATTCAAGTTGGAAGTAATTGGTATTAGTATTAAAAGTGGCTGAATAGGATTTGAAAAGAGTGCAGTGACTTTATGAAAAGTCAGACTCCCTCCTTCGTACCTTTCTTTACGTTATCGTCTTGTCTTTGAAATTGTCCCTTTACTAAAATATAAACTTAATCCTTCAAGTTCCTGAGCATTCTGACCCTGATCTAGCAAAGCACTTATGCATATGCTTAACTTTAAGTACGTGGGTCGTCCTGCTGAAGTCAACAGACTACTCTTGCTTAAAGCTAAGCATGTTCTTAAGTATTTTGCTGGATTGGGGCCAGAGTGCTTAACGTCTTGAAGGATCATATTGTTTGATATGTACTTTGTTAATTTTCTTTTTTCTTAATATTTCCCATGATCACTATAAACATCTACCTTAAGAATCCAACCTTGAAAGATTGCAGAGAGAAAGAGAAATTGGGCTCTTTTGTTTCTGTGCTATGATATCAGGGCTTGCGTGCAATTCCAGTGATCTTATCTGCCACGTTACCTGATTATCTTAGTTACTTCTCTGATTATTCCTTTTTTTTTTTAGCTTATTACTAATTAATTCATTAGCATATGTTGTCAAACTCTGGAATTCACTTACAAGTTTTTTCTTTTACTTTTAGATACCCTTTAGAAATTCAGATGAGCCTTAAGCAACCATTAATCTTCATCCTACCGCTTATCGTACTCCCATGGATGTTATTTTTCTTTTAACTCAAATTAGTCAGTTCTTCTGTTTCTGATCTATAGGTGATGTTCACAGTGTAATTACAGCACCTTTACATGACAATTGCTGCTTCTGATTACTGACTACTTTTGTGCCTCTTCTACAAAAAGAAAATGTGTATCTGCTGCATTCTTTTAATGTGCCATATCCAGACTTCCATTACATTTCTGATGTGATAACACTCCTTACGGGTATCTTTAATGCTGGGGTCTTCTTGGACTGGGAATTCTGTGTGTTACATTAAGATCAAAATTTGAACTTGCTAAAACGTTATCCTTTAATTAGGAAGAAGAGCAACGCTTTAAATATCTTGGTGAGATCTGAACTATTTCTGGTAAATATTAGATATCTAATTTTGTAGTGAATGTAAAAAGGAAGGCCTTTCCTTTTCTCCTGTTATGTAACTGGTGCCTGTTGCAGACCATCTGTAATGAAGCTGCATGTTTGGCAAAATTCAAAACAAGAACTTGTATTTATTGGTTACTTTGAGTTACTGTAAGAAGGTTCTAGTGGATTTGCATCAATATATAAGACAATAAGTTACATCTTGTTCTGCTGCGTGTCACCCTCTCACCTCCTTTCTGGTTTGCTTTATAATTTCTCATCTAAGGGTTTTCATAACTATGTTCTTACATTATTGTCTGTGTATATGTAATAATACTACATTTACACAGACAAAATTCTGAGAATAACTTCCTAAATATTATCAAAAATCTTAAATTTATAATTGAACCAGAAAGGAGCAGAGGTGTACATACAGGAGAAGGAAAGATAATTTAATTTATTTGTGTGTGTGTGTGGTCGTATAAAAAGTTTACCTCCAACACTAAACGTTTTAACAATGTTTTGGCTCCAGATTGAACATCCGAGCCCCACTGTTGATGTTCATACTTGGCATCCCACCAGAGACAGTGGACGAGAAGGTTGGTCCAGGGTATCTTATGGTAAGTATTGACTTGTGTATCTCGTCTTAGATACTCCTGTTCCATACAGCAGGTTAGGCTTTTTAACCCCTTAGTGTGGAAAGACTGTCCTTTCTTCCTAGGATTTAGCCAGGACGCTGGGATGAATGAAACTACTGTTATAAAAAATGTGGCTTAGGATATCTAATTATTCCAATGATTGGGTCCTTAGTTATGTATCATCTGAAAACAGTGTGTCCCCCAACATAGGGTGGTGCCTTGGTAAAGTACAGCCTATGCTAGCAAGGAGCAAGGCACGGAGAACCCGGGGAGAGACACTCACTGACCCTGGCTTGGAAACCTGCAAATACCTGTTTGCTTGAACAAAGATGACACTGGAGAGGGCACTCCAAGCACTAGGCCTGAAGAGCCCTGACAACCCGAACAAAAATCCCTAATACGCACTTTGAACTGTAACTATTTTAAGCCTCTTTACCTAGGATATCTGCAACCTTTCCCTTTCCTGCCAGCCAAAGTAAAATACTCTTTCACTTAACCATGTGTCTGATTGGTTATTGGGACCCACCTAGCTGCTGAAGCCCCTATAATGCTTGCCTCTGAATTTCAGGTTTCAGAGTAGCAGCCGTGTTAGTCTGTATCCTGAATTTCAGTACACCCGGCGTGCTACTGTTAGCCTACAGGGTTGGTGTACTGGGCAGGGAAAATAATTACGTATCTTCACTGAAAAATACTGGCCTTCTTACAGTGTTGGCTATGCTTGGCCATTTTATTTAGCTTCTGATCTCTTATTTCCCATATGCACGACATGGATTGTTTGTTTTGTTGCTTCCAGCAATCCATGGATTAAAGTTAGAATCCTTTAGTGGAGAGCTATGTTGAATCCTCCTTCCATATAGTATATTTCCACAGACTTTGGAGATTCCCTGTCTGTCTCAAGTAAAATTAGGGAAGGTGGTACTTTAAAACATGGTTTAATTTGTTCAGTATTCCTCATGTATGAGAGCATGAACTGTAGTGAACTTCATCGGTATTTACTATTTACATTTTATTGTGACTCCTCACTAATAATACCTTCATTGCAATTCACTGTGAATTAAAGGTACTTTGCAGTTTGCCCATAATGGAAGGACTGGAGGCTCCAGATGTAGACATTGGGATGCAAAGCCTTTCACCTCAGGGTCATAAACTTGAATCTGTTGCAGTTTGATAATATCAAAGCCACGTTACCACCTTAGAAGCATCAAGCACTTATATGAAATGAATTAGTGGTCTTGGGCCAGTCACTAGGGGACTGAAATCTACCTCAGAAAAGAGTTGTCACTTCTAACAGTCATAAGATTCATTGGTAGAGAGAAACCCCCTGCCTATGTCCTGGGGTGTAACAGTTATAAGGATCAGACTTCTGGAAAAATACAGATTCCTGGAATCAAATGTTCTAATCCTAGAAATGACAGCTCGGTCCTCTTTCATCCTTCTGGAGGTAGCTAACTGAGTCCATGCAGTTTACTGCAAGTATATAGTGATCTTTTGGATGAGACTGAAAACTGGAGGTCCTGTCTGCTTTCTAGGAGGGGATTTAGAAATTTGGTTACTCGGTTGCACCCCCAAATTAGATACTAAATTCATTTTGTGCCTGCAGAATCAGAGACAGTTATTGAAAAATTGGCTCTACAGATACTATAGCGCTTTTAATTAAAGAAGGGTTTGCCCCAGTGCTTAAGAGGGAAGCTTTCATCCTGAAGGATCCCAAATATATGGCCTCTTTTAGATATAAGCACATTGTATCAAAACTGGGAGCCATTGATATCAGTGGGATTTCTGTGCATGTATCTGTAGATAGAATGGTAGCCCCTTTCTGTTTCTCCTGCTCTCTGGATATCTAAAGTTGCACAGAAGAACTAAGCATTAGATATTATTAGGTGAACTCATTCTTACCTTGTAGGTACACCTCTACCCCGATATAATGCTGTCCTCGGGAGCCAAAAAATCATACCGCGTTATAGGTGAAACCATGTTATATCGAACTTGCTTTGATCCGCCGGAGCACGCAGTCCCTTCCCTCCCCCCGGAGCGCTGCTTTCCCGTGTTATATCCGAATTCATGTTATATCGGGTCGCGTTATATCGGGGTAGAGGTGTACTATCCACCAAATGGATTCGAGGCATAGCAGCACAGAGTGAGAATAGTTGGGACATTTCCAGTCCTGTGGATACACAGTGGACTTCTCTTTTAGGATGGAAATTTGACATCCTTTTCAAAGTGGCTTACTATCGTGTAGTAGAAAATATGGGCAATATTCTGGTTATAGTTTTACTTTACATTGGTTTAAGCAATGAATAACAATATGAGTCACTTCAGTTCACTCACAAAACTGTACTCATCCTCCGTGATGAGATCCCATTAACTTAGGCCATGTCTACTCTACCACTTATGTCGGCAAAACTTATGTCACTCGTGTGTGGAAAGACCACCCCTCTGAGCATGAGTTTCTCCGGCATAAATGGTACTGTGCACAGCACTATGTCAGCAGGAGAGCTTCTCCCACCGACATAGCTACCGCCGCTCGTTGCGGGTGATTTAGTTATGTCTACAGGAGGGCTCTCTCCCATTGGCATAGAGCAGATACGTGAGAGATTTTACAGCAGCACAGCTGCATCAGTACAGCTGTGCCACTGTAAGGTCTCTAGTGTAGACATAGCCTTAGGTTGCAGTCAAACCTGAAGTTATTGTTGTCAGATGAAGAAATTAAAACCCTAAAACACTAATGGCCGTGACATTACATGGTGTAATTCAAAATATCACGTATCAGAGGGGGAGCCGTGTTAGTCTGTATCCTCGAAAACAACGAGGAGTCCAGTGGCACCTTAAAGACTAACAGATTTATTTGGGCATAAGCTTTCATGGGTAAAAAAACACTTCTTCGGATGCATGTAAATTGCATCTGAAGAATGTAAATGCATGTAAATATATAACAACAGTAAATTGCTTTGGCTACTGTTTGAAAGGTGAGTTATAAGTGATTTTTGGGAAAGACTTTTAAATTTTTTTTCCTAAACTGCATGTAGCTTCTAGACCTATCGTCTCAAAACTTGGTTAAAAATTCTGCTGGGGTTCACTTTTTTCCAGATCCTTCTCTTCTTGGCAGCTATAGACCCAAGCTTACTAAAGTAAGTAATGCAAATAAAATCGCATGTACATTTGTCTCTGTTTTGGAGTATGTGGAATAGAAAAGTGTGTGGGATTTCTGTTGAAGGTGCCTGAGTGAAATCAAGTATACAACTTCTTCATCTTGTTGTTTGATGCTGTATATTGGACCATTATTAAATATAGATATTGTTCCATTTGTACTATAAAGCATTCTCAAAACATTCTGCATAAACAAACTGTTAACACTATGGACATACATTCATAGTAAATCATGTTCTGCAGTTATAGAACCCAATTTTTATTTACAGTAAAGTCACTTTCACTTTATGATGCCGGGGTGAGTCAAGGCACTTTAACGTGGGTGTGAAATTACATTTACGTTCACTTCAAGAGGATCCCTTGTCTCACCAGAGCATTGGTGTAAATGAGAACAGGGCCCACATTTTTTATTTTTAAATTGCTGCTCATTACTTCAAATGTTTGGCTCTTGTGCTTATTCTCAAGTTTTGTCTTTCCTTTCTCAGCTAGCTGCTTTCCCCAGGTTCTTGGTTGGGATGGAGGGGCTTGTTTATCTCACCCACCTGATAGACGTGTGAAATGAGATGTAACTTGTTTATCCTTTTTTCCTAATTTTTGTTTTTCCTGAAATACCCCGGAAATTTTATTAGCAGATTGTAGACCGTTAATTATTGTGTGTGTGCCCTATTAGATTGCCTAATGGCTGGCAAGAGAGGTGATACAGGGAGGGAGAAGGAAAGTGAATTAAAAGGATAAAACTTTGGTTCAGGCCAAACTGTCTTGTCAGCTTCTCAACTTTCACTATGTAGGACTGCAGTTTTATGTGGCATGTAAGTCTAATATATTGTGCTGCTTCTGGATTATTCCATAGTGATAAGTGATAAACTGTACAGAGAACTTCTAAATATGCTTTTATGATGGATGTTTTAATTCAAATCCATTTTTCTCAAATGGGGAAGAAGATGTTAGTGGCAGTCATTGTTTGGAGCACATAGATATCACAGATACAGATTAAATTCATCACTCTCCTGATGCCCTTAAGCATTCCTGGTTCCAACAAAAAAATACAGGCAAAAGGGAATATACCTTTTATGTTGCCAAAAATAATTGTATAGCTCTGAACTAGATGTTGTTAATATTGTGTAGAGTAAGAGGACCTGAGAATTACTATTGGTGTAATGTAGCTCTTAAGGGGAAATCAGTGTTAAATTTAATAAAGCAGATGATATTTGGGCATGCTGTTTGTGTGTGTGTGTGTTTAATCTGAAGATTACATTTGATTGGGATTCTAATTTTGTAACAAACATCAGCTGCCTCTTCTAAAGTTGTTAGGTGAATTAGCTCATGGGGCCAAAATGTTAGGACTCTCCTGGCTTTTATTTGTTAATTTAGGTCTTCTGTATGGTGTAACTGGGGGATTAAACTTTGGTTAAAGTTCACCTAAAAATACTGTTTTATACAATGGGGTCAGATACAGTCCTGCCTTTCAGAGGGTTTCCTGGCTAGCATGGACAATTCCATGGAATATTATTGAGTTCCTGTACATGTGTGGTGTAAAATAACAAATCAAATTCCTTTCTCCCACAGGGTACAGGAAGCTTTAAAGGGCAAATGGTGTGAAGCTTTAGTCAAGGTTACATTTGAATAAGGCTATGATGACTCTCTTTGTAGGAATATATGGGAACAGATTGAATCTAGATCTAGAAATGCTATTTCTGCATAAGTGGGCATGGCAAACAAGATGAGACGTGGCCTGTTCCCCTAAGCTGGAAAACGTGCATCCTTATCCTGCCCCACATCTTTGTCATGGAGCCTTTTCTGACATCTCTACAGTGTCCAAAGATCTCCCTTATGGGGCTGGAGCAGTATCTAGAGATCAAGAATTTGGCCCTAGTTGATGGGACCAGCAGGGAGTGAGATGCTGGATCAAGATGGTGGAATACTAAAAAGGTTCATCACAGTGGGGCACCTTTCTGTGAAACTTAAGGAATATAGAAGAACAGGAGGACTTGTGGCACCTTAGAGACTAACAAATTTATTAGAGCATAAGCTTTCGTGGACTACAGCCCACTTCTTCGGATGCATATAGAATGGAACATATATTGAGGAGATATAAGGAATATAGCAACCTTTCTAAGCCCTTTGCACTGCTTGCACATTTTTCATTAGCAGCAAACCCCATCACTCAAGCGTGCAAGGTGTAACTTTCCTTAACACTTTACAAGCTTAGAGAGAAAACCCATGCAAAATGCACTGTATGGGTGTAGTAGTCAGTTTTTTAAAGGGTCATAACTTGGGCAAATAGAGAACACTTCCAGTGGAAATCTCCAAAGTCTCTTTTCCCTAGAAACCTGCAAGGCACTTTCTTCAGTGAGGGCTGTTTCAGATTTTTGCCTCTAATTTTTTTCAGCTCTGTAGCTGGTCCAAAAAAATTGCAAAAAATTATTTTATAATGGGGAAAATGTTGTCTCCCTCCCCACCACCATCTTGTTTGATAATCCAATATGGCTGAAGAGCTTTTGCTGAGACTAAAAAGTCCCTGTTCAGAACCAATCCTGGAAAATTTCAGCCAGAAAGGTGAAAACTTCAAAAAGATATCAGTGACTGAAAACAGGGGGTTAGCCTGAAATGCAATCTTAATTATGGGGGGTGCTGCCGTTCCCACTTCTATGTTATATGCAAATCTCTATAAATAATTGCCTTATGTGTATTTCTTAATACAGACAAGTCTAATTTTTAAACTTTGTTTTACATACAGAAAAAGTGGAAAGTGTACATCTCTGCTCCCTGTTAGCTTATGCACCGGCATAGCCTAGGCACTTATAATATATTGTTTGAAGTTCTGCTGCTGTTTTTTCTCTGACAGATTATCAGGTCTCATCATGGGAAAGACTTAGATGGCTCTTCTGACAGCTGTGATGAGCACCCGATGTCGGGTACTGCTAGTAGGCAATTTCGTTCTACTAGTTCATTAATACGTTCAGCACCCTCCTCGTTGCAGAAACATTCCTCAAGTCCTGTACTCAACCGTTCTTCTCTTAGAGAAAGGTAAAGGCTTGTTTTCATTTGTTGTCTGTGAAATTTTGGAAGAATTGGCAATAGTGAATAACAGTTATGTTTGCATAACTGTAGGTTGACTGTTTGGGGTTATACAGGCTAAAATGACTGTGGATTTCCTGTTACTTTATGTAGTCATTTGAGCTGTCATCAAAGGATCACACGTACAAAACTTAGGGTGTCCATCTTCTCTCAACTGCATCAGTACAGCCCAACTGACATGGGTCCCAATATCATGGCAATAAAAATCTCTTCTCCAATTGCATGTTTCTAATATTTGGTATAACTCAGTCCAAGTTTTGGCTCTGAATGTTTATTATATATCTCAAGCAAAATGCTAATATTCCAAAGACTGACTTAAACATCAAGAACTTAAATCTGGTGATTGCATTGGTAAAATATTCTGAAGGTGTTTTCAACTTTTTACTTCTGATTGGTTTTTCAACCCCAATATTTGTTTGTATTTATATCTAATACAATTACAGCTTCTTTTTATAAACAGAAACTTTACTTTAGGGTTTTCTTTAAAAATATGTAGAAATATAGTTTTAGTGGGGCATATGTGGGCTGGATTTTAAAACATCGTTAGAGTTTAAGTTGGTGTCCCCTTACCATCACCCTCTGCCTGACACTTTTACAGCGTTCTCACTGCTATAACTGAGAGGTTAGTGTGTATTGTGTGTTAATGTTTCTCTTTTTTCTCCTTGTTTGTGTATTTGATAACTCTGTGTGTGTAATTAAGGGCACTATGCCTAATCAATTTTACCCCCTTTTCTTTTGTGTGGGTCTTTCACAGGCAGTAGACAGGCGAGAACAACACTTTGAAAACAACCTTTAGCTTTTTTTTGCATGGTACTCATCTTTGCCAGTCCAGCTCAAAATCAGGTCAACATTCTTGCTGTTTCACTTCACAGGTCTCTCCCCAGCAGAGATTCAGAACGGTGTCAAGGTATAGTGAAGGTCCAGACTCCGGAGAAAATAATAAAAAAATAACAATAATAAGTAAACAAACAGATTTTTGGGGTCCATTCAAAAGCACCTGGCAGTCCGGATTTGGCCTGCAGTCTGCCTATTGACTACCCCTCCGCTAAAGGCTGTGACTCTCAAAAAGGGCCCAAAAGCATTGTAAGACTGGTCCATAACTTGCTTTTGGAAGAGGCTCCAATAGCGCATACGTACAGGTAGTTTTCTCCTATGAAAGTATCCCCCCCCCCATCTCCCCAAGCACAAGTAATTTGGCAGCTAAGCCTTGCTAGATGATAAAGCCTGATGCAAAATCTCAATCCCCTTGTTTGGGATTCCTTTACAAGCATTGAAATGGGTTCCACAGCTAAAGATCGAAGTTCTTTGGTTGGAGCTGAGAAGAGAATGCACAGGCATGATACTTGGTCATTTCTGGTGTGCTGAGAGACAAATTGGGCTTTGAGAATCATGCATCCAGTTTGAAGTAATCCTTTCCATTCTGCAACTGGCACGTGTAAAAACTTCCTAACTGCTGATTTCAGTCTGAAAGGTGTGGAGCATCATGAGTGGTCACTCCTGCCTTCAGGTGCTTGTGTGATTCCTGCCAGGTGGGATCGCTGTAACATGGATTCATCTGCTCCAAGTCAGAACAACAAACCACAATCAGGTTTGCTTGAGAACAGTCAAAGATCTATGTGTAGGACTCCTTTCTTTTGCATTGCCAAGAGAGTCTCCTTTTACTCCTTTCTTCTGTTTTCTCTCATTCCCAGAGTACTGGGAAAGTTTTGGCAGCATAGAGTTGGATGATCTTAGTTAATCCAATATGGGTCCAGTTGATCATCTGTGTCCTGGCTCCATTGAAGTCTATGGAAGTTTTGCCTTTGACTTCAATGGAGTTATGATTTCATCCCAGGTTCTTGGCTTCTAGTTTTGTCCCAAGGTTGTTTATTCACTCGCTCCCTGAGTCAAGATCCCCTGTCCCAGCAGGGTAATGCATCCAGACTTCAAGGTCCTTCGTCTCATGTTATAGAGATATCTTAAAATGGAGTCCAGAAAGCCACCTCCACTAGAAAGCAGAATGCTGGTAAATATAACTGTTTTTAAAAGTTTGCGCACCGTAGAGGCTGTGACCCGGTTTCCTGTCCAGTTCCAATTGATTTAGACTTTCTTCTGTCTCTGTTATCAAAGCTGTTCTTAGGTAAGCATCTGCAGTTTCCATCTGCTATTACTGCTTATGCTGGCCCTGAACCTGGCCCTGTGACAAGGTGCTCTGGCTTTGTCTGTTCCCCGGTGAAACACGTCTTTAAAAGTCATACAAACTTGTACACTCCTGTTCAGGAACCTACTCAACTTTGGGATTTGAACTTGGTATTAAATAGACTCATGGGAGGGTGTTTGAGCTTTTAGGGTCTTGCTTTCTTCATTGCTTTTCAGTGAAGCTCTCCTATTTTGTCACAGTTAACTTGGCCAGGAGGGTTTGAGTTACAGGCCTTGATGATCTGTCACCTTATACCGTATTCCACAAAGACCAGTGGCTACTTTACCCCAATCTAGACCAATTTATATCTGACTTTTCATCTCAATCACTGATATCTCTGCCTGTCTCTTTCACAATGCCCCATAATTATGCTGAGGAGGTGAAGTTGAACACCCTGGATGTCAAGAGCACTGCCTTCTCCTTAAACAGGACTAAGCCATTTCAGAAGTCAGAAAATTTATGGTCTCTGGAGAAGAATTTGAGGATCAACCACCTGAGCTCAAAGACTGTCACAATGGATAAGAAAATGCATCCAGTTTTGATATATACCAGATGTGCCTGAATGCTTAAGGGTTCGATCAACAAGGGCATTGCAAAGTTGATGGTGTATACATGCAATGTACCCTTATGTGAAATTTGTAGGGCTGCTACCTAGAGGTCAGTTCACACCTATGAATCACTATTTTCTTGACACCACATCCAGAGCAAATGGTGGTATTAAAGGACATTATTTAAGACCCACCTCCTTAGAAGCTGATTGGCTAGCCTTCATGCTTTAAATTAAATGAGTTTACTTATCAGCAAGTTTCAGAGTAGCAGCCGTGTTAGTCTGTATCTGCAAAAAGAACAGGAGTACTTGTGGCACCTTAGAGACTAACAAATTTATCAGCAAGAGCTCTTGTTCTCTGTGTGCCTCCACAGAGCTACCTCTTTTCTGCTTCAGAGCCCAGCTCTATACAGGGCTTCTGGGGGTGTAGAGGAACTGAGGGACCATTAGAAGGGATGATGCATTCCCTGTCTACAGAATTTAGCACTCAAGAGGAATTGAGTGCACCCACCAGCTACTGCTCAAAACAATTATGTACTGCCATCGTATGACTCTTAGTACTTGTCTACACTTCAAAAAAATGTGGTTGTTGTAGCTATTCCTTCACACTTAAAGCAGCAAAAGCGACATAGTCTGGAAGCAGCGATATCAGTATAAAGGTGCTTATACCAGTATAGTTTCTTGTGATTGGAAACTGAACTAAGCTATATACTATAAACCATATAGCTTTTACTGGTATAGCTATATCTACAGGTGGGCTTTTACTGCCATAATCAGGTCAGCAAAAAAAAAATCACACCTCTTCCTGACATAATTATGCCAGTAAGACCAATCCTTACAACATCTCTCTGTGTTGGTAATATATGCCGAGAACAGGTTGTTTTTGGTAAGTAGCCACTTCCTATCCTTTAACTGGGAATAAAGTTACTTCTTCTGGTTACCATGAGTACTGCAGAGATACAAAGTATCCAAGTTCTAGCCATTTGGTTTTTCTGGATGATCTCTCATGTTACATGGGTAGTTTCTCAAAGATTCTTTTAGCTGCGTGTCTGATTATATTTAGCTAAGGAGTTATTTCTTTTTTTTTCCTTTTTCTGTCTTGCAATAGAGCTCTCCAATTGTGAATCTGCTACTACAGTACGTTATTGATTTCTGTCCTGTGATAGTTTGTCCTTCTATGTAGTTTCTTCTCAGCATGACGTTTCTGCTTTGAAGTTGATAAATTCTTCATGGAGGCCACCTGCGCACATTTACCCACACAGTTGGAAGGTTTGCTGGTGGGGAAGGAATTATACCTGATTCAAATGTTCTGCAGTAAGCTTTTGCATTAACTCTGCTATCCAAGATGGCGTAGGGTTTCTTGCTATGTGCAAATGAAGGTTTGGACTGTCTGACATTTGAAAATACCTATTTTTTATACAAGTTGAGAGTTGTAAGCTGGTGTTTAAATAGTATACACATCTATTTGAATTTCTAATAGTCTGTTCCATCCTAGTGGATGTCTGAGAATTGTATTCATCTGTATTATAACATCCAGACTTAATGCACTAAGGTAAATGTTGTCTGTTTGCATGACTTGAAAAAAAAATCCTTACCTCATAAAAGAAAATAAATGTCTTTAGTCACATTCCAAGGGAAAATAGTTTTGTACCTTAGATCGTACTTGACATAGCATCTTTGAAATGAATGATGAGAACTTCTCTGATCTGGCGTTTTCTAGGTCACTGAGCTATACTTCCAAAGTGTTTATACAATCTATTGGAATCAATAAACAATTTAAACTGATGTAACTGCAGAATGTTTGCAAGGCCCAAGGAAAATCGGAAGTATGACAGAATACAGCTATAGAAGTTTATCAGGGCAAACAGCCATTGAAATGAAATGACTTCCTCCAACATTGCAATAGAATACTGACACCTTAATCACATAAATAAGTAGCTAGTGGTTTTTAAAATGCATTATTAGTGGTTTTGGGCAACTGAAATTCCTTTATTTATAATTTAAGAAGCTGTGCTCTGAAAGCCATTTTATAAAATATCTCCAATAGGAGTTATCACATCATTAGATGGTTTCAATTTAGATTATGGGTGTTACATTTTCTGGCATCATTTTATTTTCGGATGACTTTTGATTGGTGTAAATATTAACATTGACTTAAAATGTGGATTAGGCTTTATAGTTATTACTAAATTTAGACAGTAAAGATACTGGCAAAACTAATTA